TACTTCTGATCAGGACCACACCCTGGAGAATCCTGCCTCCTTGTCACATATCCAGCCCATGGCGATTGTCTTTATTCAGGGCCTTGCTCTTTCTCTCTTAAGATTCTGCTGTCATTGCCTAATTTGTTATTCTGTGCACTTCCCACCATCCCTCCATGTAGCAGCCACAGTGATCTTTCTAAAGCCCAAGTCTGGTCATTTGTTTCCTTTGTGTGAGTTCTCCCGGAAGCCCCTGGCCACCCCTCCACCCTCATTTCACTCCTGACCTTCACTTCCTTCTCATCTACTATGCTCACCTCTCCTGGGCATGTGTTTCCTTTCATTTAGGTGGCAGTTGCTGGAGTCTGAGGAGTTTCGTAGGAAACCATCCAGTCACATTGCACGTGGCTATTCCGCTCTGCATCCTCACTAGCAGTGAATGAAAGTTTTGGTTGCTCTGCATCCTCGCCAGCCCGTAGTGTCAGTGTTTTGGATTTTGGCCATTCTAACAGGTGTGCAGTGATGTTGTTTTAATCTGTAGTTCCCCGATGACATAAGATGTGGAACATTGTTCTCGTCTGACATCTGTGTATCTTCAGTGAGGAGTCTCTTCAGGTCTTCTGCCCATTTTCTAATGGGATTGCTTGTTTTCCTGTGGAGTTTAAAGAGTTCTTTGTGTATTTTGGATAATAAACCTTTATCACATGTGTCTTCTGTAAATATTTCCCTTTGACTTGTCTTCTTGTTCTCTCGACAGTGTCTTTTGCAGAGCACAGGTTTTTCATTTGAACGAAGCTCTGCTTTTCAGTTCTTTCTTTAACAGTTTGTGCTCTGATGTCGTATCTAAAAAGTCATCTCTGTGCCAGGGTCACTAGGTTTTCTGCTGTGTTATCTCTTAGGAGTTTTGTGCCTTTTCATTTTACATTTACATTTAAATCCATTCTGAGTTAATTTAGGGGAAGGGTATAAGCTCTGTGTTTTGATTCACTTTTTGGCCTGTCAGTTTCTAGTTGTCCCAGTACCCTTTGTTGGAATGCTGTCTTTGCTCTTTGGAGCTCCTTTGTTGAACACCACTTGACCCTATTTATGTGGATCTATTTCTGGGCTTTCTTTTGTGTTCCATGGATCTGTTCATTTATGCTTTAGCCAGTATGATAACATCTTGATAACTTAGTAAGTCTTTTTTTTTTTTTTTTTAGTTGTAGATGGACACAATACCTTTATTTTATTTATTTATTTTTATGTGGTGCTAAGGATCAAACCCAGGGCCTCACATGTGCCAGGCAAGCGCTCTGCAACTGAGCCACAACTGTAGCCCAACTTATTAAATCTCTGGAGGGTGGGTACCAGGGATTGAATTCAGGGGCATTCAACCCCTGAGCCACATCCCCAGCCCAATTTTGTATTTTATTTAGAGACAGGGTCTCACCAAGTTGCTTAGCACCTTGCTGTTACTGAAATGGGCTTTGAACTTGTAATCCTCCTGCCCCAGCCTCCTGAGCTGCTAGGATTACAAGCGTGAGCCACCACACCTGGCTCCAGTTTATTAAGTCTTGACGTCAGGTAATAAAATCAGTCTTCCACCTTTGTTCTCCTTCAGTGTTGAGTTGGGTGTTCTGGACCTTTTGCCCTTCCGTGTAAACTTTACTCATTTATTTATTATTAATATTTACTTTTTAGTTATAGGTGGATACAATATCTTTATTTTTATTTTTTATGTGGTGCTGAGGAATGAACCCAGTGCCTCACACATGCTAGGCAAGTGCTCTACCTCTGAGCCACAAACCACAACCCCAGTCCCCTCCATGTAAATTTTAGAATCAGTTTGTTGATATCCACACAATAAGTTACTGAGGTTTTGTTTGGAATTACATTGAATCTATAGCTCAAGTTGCATCTGGGTTGTTTTTTTAAAAAAGTTCATTTTTTTATTTTGTTTTTATGTGAGCTGCTGGACCTTGCACATGCCAGGCAGGTGCTCAGCCACTGAGCTACACCCCCTAGCCTCCAGGCTGTTTTAATTACAAGTTGTAATTCCTGTCTTATGATAATATTTTTGAACTTTATTATGTCCTTTTGCCTAGTTTAAATTCCGTCTTCTTACTGCACATTCCTCTGACATGACACGTCCTTTAGGCTTTCCTAATAAATCAAACTGACAAACCTCTAGATACCATGCTGAAGACAGATATTTCACCAATCTTATTTTTTTTCATAATAATGACTTTATTTTTGTAAAAATGATATGCTCTTATTATGAAAAACTGAAGGCAGTTTGTGCAATCTAATGAAAACCTCCACCCAGAAATAACTACTAACATTAGGTGAAATGTGTTCTAGAAATCTGTAGGGTACATCTAGCTGGAAAGCTAGATAAAAATGCTTTTATTAAAATGAGACCAGACATGTTATTTTTAAAAAAAATAATAGAAGTCATATGTCTAACTTTATGTGAATCTAACAGAAGAAAAAGAAACTCAAGTAGGTGTTTCTTCCCCACAGAGAATATTAGTTCCTAAAAGAAGCCAAGACTGGGGGCTGGGGTTGTGGCTCAGTGGCAGCGCGCTTGCCTGGCACGTGTGAGGCCCTGGGTTTGAGCCTCAGCACCACATATAAATAAATAAATAAATAAAGGTATTGTGTCCAACTACAACTAAAAAACAAAGTTTTTTTAAAAATCCCTTAAAAAAGAAGAGGAAGTAGCCAAGACTGTGAGAAACAGTAAGAAACTAGAGTTGACCTTCGTAGGTCTCCTTTCTGGGGTGCCGAAATGGCTTCTCTCCAGCCTCATCTCTCCGTCTCCTTTGTATCAACTCTCTCAGGGGTGACGGTGGCAAGTCTGTGAATGGTCTTCTGCTCGGAAACCCAGTTCTCTTGTGTTAGCTCTCACTGTATACTTAACTCATTTGTGGCTCGCCACCAAGAACTTTTGCTATCGCTTCTTCATTCTTGAATGTTGTTTTTTTTTACACTTCTGATCTTCTGAATTTCCTCACTGGGGATGCGTCAAGCATGGCTCCTGGGTTTGGACTATTTCTTTAGACTTTCTACTTGCACACACCTTGGCTATGTGGCTTATTCTTGCACCACACTTTCTTTTGCTTAGAATTTGGAGACATTTCTCCGTTGTCATCTGGCACTGACTGTTAGGAGGACAACAGGTCCGTCCAAGTTTCCCTTTTAGAGGTCTCCCATTTTCTTCTTTCTTCTCCTCTTCTCTGTGTATAAAGAATTTCGTCTTTCTTGTTCTTTAATACTTTTTCTTGGAACAGAAGAAACGTGTGCCCTTTTGAGTTGCAATTCCATTGTGCATTCTAGGGAAGATGTTTTCTTTAGCAGTACTTCTTATTTCCCATTTGTAGGGTTCTTTGCTTTCGATTTTATATTCAGTCTTTTTTCATTGCCTTGATCTCTTACAACTATGGTTTTGTGTTTGTTGCTGGGATTGAACTCAAGGGTGCTCTATCACTGAACTATATCTCTGGCCTTTTTTATTTTTTTTTAGAGACAACTTTTGCGAAGTTGCTGGGGCTGGCCTTGAACTCGAGATCCTCCTCCCTCAGCCTCCCAAGTCACTGGGATTACAGGCTGCTCTCCCTTTTTTACAGAACTTACCTTAGCTGCCATCTTGGCAAGGTGGGCAGCGCACCAGTCTCAAGAATACTTGTCCTTTTCTCCTCATTCTCTATGACTCTCATGCCTACCTTCTATTTCCACTTGTTTTCTAGCCGTATCTATTCAGTGTCTTGCTGTTTCTCTTAGTTCCTTTTTCCCTTTTTATTTCATTGTTTCATCTTTGCTTACTTTCTTGAGTTCACATTATTAAATTTTTCTATAACTCAGAATACTACAGGGAATTTTGTTTCTCAGATTACGTTTTACGTTAGGCTTGGTTGTCATCAGACAGCAGGTTTCTTTCTTTCGTGTGTTTGTGGCTCCCATGCTATTTATTTTGGACTGGACCCAGGGCCTCATGCATGCTCCACCTGCTCCACCACTGAGCTGCGCCCCACCCCTGGGCTAGTAGCTCCTTTTGGGGTCTTATGGTTGACGTGGCAACTCTGACCAGACTTTTTTTTTCTTTTTTTGTCTTCTGTATAATCTGAGTATGTTCTTAATTTGAACGGTATCTGTACCCATCACTCAGATTTAACCAATGTTAACATTTTACAATATTAAAAAAAAGTCCCGGGGGCTTGCTGTGGTGACACATGCCTGTAATCCCAGCAACTCAGGAGACTGAGGCAGGAGGATTGCAAGTTCAGGATGAATCTGGGCGATTTAGCAAAATCCTGTCTCAAAATAAAATAAAAAGGGCTGGCAGGGGGCGGGGAGATGTTGTCCATGGTAGAAGTCCCTGGGTTCAATTCAGAAAAAAACTTTTTTAAAGTATTGGTTAATATGACCCATTTTAGTACTTGTCACAAAACTCCATCTGTGTTCTTCACTAAGGAGCCTCCTCACCAGGTAGAGAACCCAGCCTCCCCTTCCCTTCCTGAGTTCACTTTCCCTTTCTTCACTCTGTTCTACTCAGGAGCTAAGGTTTTCTTAACTATCTGCCATTTCTGTCTTTTGTTTAAAAAAAAAAATCCTTATTCCTGCCCCGACTATGAAAAGTGTTGAAAACCAAATTTGTCCAAAGACAAATTAGCAAAAAATAAAGTAAGCAAGAAAGCATTCATCTAAACACCAGTGCAGTGACCCCTTCCTTCCAGCCCCTCAGGCACATCCATCACCCAGGACCACCGTGCCCCTCGGGAGCACAGCCACCAAAGTCAGGGCCTTGGTACAAATCCCAGTCCTGGTTTACTGGGAAAGTGACTTTGGAAAGTGACTGCCATCCTCTCTGGTCCTTAGTTTCCTCATCCCTAATCAGTGTGGCTAACACTGTCCTCAGGGGTCAGCCCAGAGGCCATGAGGCCATGTGTGGGGAGTGCTTCCCATGTGTGAGTACTGTCCCCTCTCCCTCACCATCAGCCCGTCTCCCCTCAGAGCTTGCTTCTGCTGTCCTCTGTCAACAGGCTCCTCCAGCCTCCAGAGCCATCCTTGAAACCACCAAGGCAGAGCTGGACCAGACCCAAAGATGACCTCCCCTCTTCTTCTTTATGAAGAGATGAGAAAGCCGAGACCTGTAGCTGGCCACTGAATCAGGAGGGGAACTTTCGCAGTCTCTTAAGTTCATGGAGATGCTGCGCTTCCTCTGCCTGCTCCTGAAGGAGCTGTCTCCTTGGCTCTGCTGGCCCAGTCCCTTCCTGGAGCCTCTGTAGAACTTACTGGAAGGCTGTCCACGGTTCGCTCAGAGCCCCGCACAGGCTCCACCTTTGTGTCCTGTGCTGACCCCCAGCACTGAATGCTTTCCTTCCCTCTTGGGCCTGGGTTTGAGGGGTGTGGCTAAAGCTCCTTCTTTCCAGTGAACTCACCCCCTGGTCCTTCCAGGGCCCAGGCCCTGCATCGCCCTGTGGAGGCCCCTCTGCTTCTCTGCTGCCCTCTCATCCCTCGGGCAGCTCGCATGGGTGGAAGTAGCCACAACTCTACTGATGCTGATTCCTCCCTGGCTGGGGAAGCTGCAAGGATGTGCAGCCCCCTGTGCACGCTCAGGAGGCCTCAGAGAGAACCAGCCTGGCCTGTGGGCCCCCAGCAGCCCCGGCTTCTGCCCGATCCCTCGCTAACCAGCAGCTCCACCTCCTGCCATCTGGGCATCTCACATCCAGAGCTGGGCAAAGCACTTGGGCCTGGGGGTTATAGAAAGGAATATGGCCTTGACTCCCTAAAATTTTATAATTTGGGGAAGAAGACAGGTAGGACAAGCACAGGTGCATTTTAAGAACTACACATGAGGAAGGAAGATGCACCAATACAAATGATCAGAACAGAGCTCTGCAGCGGCCCCTTAAGGAATGGTCCATGGATATGACTGCAGTGGGAAGAAAGCACACAGCGTGAAATCCACACCCCCTGGAAGACGGGGAGGGTGCCACCAACGCAGGCCCAGAAAAGGGAGAGCCTCGTAGGCAGAGCTAGCAGTGCCCATCTGATGGGAAAACTGTGCTCCTCTTTGTTGGCACAAGTGTCCTGGCCCTTGCCGGCTTACACCTGCTACATTAATTGCCATCAACAAGCCTCAGATTCTATGGCAAACAACTTGTCTGCATTCCTGCTCATCAAGCAACCTTCTGGTAAGTTGGTGTCTTGACTGTGCTGCTAAAGCAAAACACCATAGCCTGGCATGGTGATACATGCCTGTGACTCAGGAGGCTGAGACAGGAGGACAGCCTCAGCAGCTTACTGAGACCCTGTCTCAAAAAATAAAAGGCTGGAGATATAGCTCAGTTTTATAGACCACTGGATTTGATCCTCAGTACTGCAAAAAAAAAATTACCAAAAACCCTCCACATAAACTGGGTAGATTATAAACAGCAGAAACTTATTTCTCATAGGTGTGGAGGCTGGGAAATCAAGACCAAAATGCTGACGGATTCAGTGTCTGGTAGAGAAGTCCTTTCCTAGTTTCTAGGTGGCTCCTGCTCACTATGTACTCACATAGCACAGGGCACACAGGTTTCCACAGGGCACTTTTTGTTTGATCCCTGGGTGCTGTAACCCTGAGGTACATCCGAAACCTTTTTTATTTTTATTTATGAGACAGGTTCTTGCTAAGTTGCCAAGGGCCTTGCTAAGTTACTAAGGATGGTCTCAAACTTGCGTCCTCCTGCCTCAGTCTCCCAAGTTGCTATAATTAGTGGCATGTGCCCAGCCCCACATGCCACTTTTATAAGGGCACTAATCCCCTTCATGAGGTCTCCACTCTCCTGACCATCACCTCCCAGAGACTCCACCTCCTAGAACCATCACGTTGGAGGTTAGGTCTCAACATAAAATTCCGGGGAGGCACACAGTCCACAGCAGCTGGCCTCCTTGGGACAGAAGTGTAAATACGCACATGACATTCCTGTTTTCCTGTCAGTCTTGTGAGCTGCTAAGATGAGTGAGCCCTTCTGGGCCTTGCGGAGATCCTGTGAGGCACCGTGGGGCTGAGCTTCCCACCGCCGGGTCCTTTTTCAAGCCTCCTGGGAGCCAGGCGTCCCCACCCGTCACTCTCAGTGAACCCCGTCCTCACACAACACCTCTCTGGTGCCAAGCTGCAAGGAGAATGCAGGCAGCCGGGGACTGCGGCAGGCTGGGGCGGCTGGCCAAGGCGGGCTGCAAGCTCCACAGGCAAAGGCTCTGTCTGTCTTGCCCAGCACCACGCCAGGGCCAGCCCGCATAGGTTCTTATGAGTGATTTCTAAATGGATGCTGCAGAGTGACAAGCGGCTCGAGAGGATCCAGAACCCAGAGATCGTAACGGGTTTGAGGAAGAGAAGCAAGGAGACGATCATTCCAGAATGAGGGGGCGGCTGCTTTCCATGGAGAATGAAGGCACAGGGTCGTTGGCATGACCCGCACAGGGGCCTGCAAGGAGTCGGCCCAGCAGGGCGGGGGACAGCACAGTGAGGAGTAGGGTAGGAGAGAGAGTGGGGCCTGGGCTCAGGTGAGGGGCTGGGCTCAGGCGGAACAGGAGCGGGAGCCATTCTGGGTTCCTGGGAAGGAAGGATGTAATCCTGGCTGGATGGACTGATGGACTCCAGGAGAGGAGTGGGCGTGTGGAGGGGAAGAGACCAGGTGGGCAGGCAGCCAGGAGGCTTCCAAGTGACCCAGGCCTGTGGTCATAGCCCACCATGGTGTGCACTGGAAATGAAGAAATTAGGAAGACACATGGAGATATGTACAAGGATTACTTGAAAGCACCATTTGTAATAGCAAAATAAAAAAAGAAAAAAAATGGAAATAGCCAAATGTCCATCAGTAGGAAACTGGGTAAATAGATGACTATGTATTCATGTAATGGAATATTATACAGCAGGAAAAATGAGCAGTGTAGATCTACATACCCTGACAGCAACATATCTCAAAAAAGAACAAAGCCTTTAGAAGGATCTAGATTGTGCTCTTCAACGTGGTAGCCACTAGCCACATGGGACTTTTAAATCTCAATGAACTAAAATTAAAAATGTGATTCCTCAGTCATGCTAGCTAGCCACACTTCAAGTGCTTATAACCACATGAGGTTAGTGGCTACCGTACTGGCCCACTCTGATACAGAGCATGTCCACCACCACAGAGAGTTCTCTCAGACAGCTCTGGTGTTTCAAGACATGAAATGCAGGGTCACGTATTGCATATGACCCAGAATGTCTAGTGAAATAGAGATCACAGTAGAGATCACGCAGACGACAAACCAGAGACTCAGATGGTGGCTACCTCTGCCAGGGGGAGTGTGTTCAGGACCAGAGAAGGAGTGCTGGGCCCTAAGCTGAGTGTGGGCACGTGGGTGCTCATATTACCTGTGCTTTGTAAAATCATCTATACTGTTATATGCCTGCATATAAGGCACATGTATATATATAAGGCATAGGGACACTGTGAGGGACTGAGCCTGGGCAGGCGGACATCATACTGGCTTGAGTCTCTTACCTGGGAGATTGGCAGGGGTCTGTGTGGAGACACCTGACCCTTCCTTATGCTGACATTGGACAACTCCCTTGTCATGGTCACTACACAGGACATACTCTTCTCTGGTCCCCAGTGCCATGGTTACCTGACCCAGCCAGCTATGATGAAAGGTCAGGCTCAGATGCCTGTGCAGGCTGGGCCCCTGCCAGACACACACACCTCCCCATGTCCCCCCTGCTAGCCCAGCCACAGCCCCGCCATCACTGCCACACGCCCTCCCCACAGGCTCCCACACCAGCTCCAGAACCAAGCCCAGCCTCTCACTCTCTAGAAAAGGGTAGTTTATCACTTTGTCCCATTACAGTCCTATGAGGCCTGGGACAGCTGTACTCAATCAGGAATTTGCGCCACACAGGAGGCCAGCAGCCCAGGAGTCCCTGGAGGTCTGGGCCGGGTGCCCAGCCCTGTGGAGGCCAAGGAGCTGCTTGCTGAAGGCTGTGGGCACGGGCTGAGTTTGGCCTGCCAAGAGCCAGGGCTAGTTAGGACTCGGGACAGCTGGGCAGCCAGCTCTCCTCTTTAGGCCAGAGCCCACCCCACACCCCTCCTCCAGGAGCCCAGCCCTAGAGTCATTTTTAGAGTAGATGGATCTGCTGGTTCTCAGTTTCTGACACCCTCTCTAAACACAAATGAGTTCAAATGCTATTTGTTTCTAAGCCATCACCCTCAAGAATGGCACAGAGCTGGGGGATATGCCAGTACCTTCTACTCCAGACACCATGTGTTCAAGATAAAAGTCATTAAGGGCAGGGGGTCACTGAGGTAGGCCATCAGCACGGAAACCGAAATACTTAATATAGCTGAGATTTCTCTCATGTCATATCAAGCCCCAATTTTTAATCATAGGTTCAACTCTGTCCAGTCGCTCAAAGAATTTCTAAATGCTCACACTTTCTGCACCTGTCACACTGAGGCAGTGAGGAGAACCTGTCAGAACAGCACCAGGCCATGGGCCACATTTTTTAGTTGCATCTGCTCAAAGACTAGAGGCAAATGCTAGATGTGGAATAATTATTTTCCTCTCTGGCTTAATTTTTCTGTGACAGAGTTATACTGTTCAAAATGAAAGCTGGTTTAGGGCTGGGGACCTAGCTCAGTGGTAGAGTGCTTGCCTCGCATGCACAAGGCCCTGGGTTCCATCCCCAGTGCAACAAAAAAAAAAAAATGAAATCTGACTTAAAATAGAAATAATCACTCAGAAGAAGATACATTTTCCCCCAAGTTCAGGTTTATGGATAAGGCACAGCTGATACAAATCAAAGCCATCTTCCACCTGCCTGGTTCTGTCCCCTGCCTTTCATCCCATTGTTCCCAGCTCCTGCTCCCATTAATCTTCCGCTTTCCCTAGTGGCAGGTCCTGGACTCTGGTCTCCCTGCTGTCACCGTTCCAGACTCCCAGGAAATCACCTGACCTCAGACGTCAGTTTCCTTGTGCAGGTTGGTGATGAGATCTGCCTCAGAGGACTGTCACAGAAGTGAGGTCACCAAGAGGGGAAAGCTCTGCAAGTCACCGAGGAATAGGCCCTGAAGAGTGAGCCCGGGCCACTTGCCCTCGGTCCCCCAGCCTCTGGCCAGCTCGGGTCAGCCTCCTGGGCTTCCTGGCCCTTTTGGCCTCTTCTCAGGTAAACCAGTCTCCTCCTCCACCTGCTGTCAAACAAGCCTTTTCCAGGAGGCCTCTCCAGTGTGTCCCCACGGTGCACACACAGGTGCTTCTGTCCCTCAGAGCCATGGTGGCCCCTCCCAGGGGAAACCCCGCCCAGGCTGCTGGATTTTGTCCCTCCTGACAGCCAGTGGCGGACACGTTCCTACCCTCAGTCTCAATAAGCTTGTCTGCTCGAGGTACCGCATGTAGGGAAATCAAAAGGTTTGTTCTTTCGTGTCTGGCTTATGTCATCTAGCATGTCTTCAAGATTCATCCACCGTGTCCTGGGCCAGAACGTCCTTTCTATCTACCTATTTATTTGTTTGTTTGTTTATTGGTTCTGGGGATTGAACCCAGGGGTGCTAAACCACTAAGCCACATCCCAGCCCTTTCTGTATTTTCTTTAGAGACAGGGCCTCACTAAGCTGCTGAGGCTGGCTTTGAACTTGTGATCCTCTTGCCTGATCGAGCGCGATACCACTTGAGCCACATCCCCAGCCCTCAAAAATAAAGTTTTAATAAAAGGTTGGGAATGTAGCTCAATGGTAGAGTCCCTGGGTTCAATCTCCAGTACCCCCACATACAGAGAGACCTCTAAGACATCGTACAAATTCTGTTTGAACCCCTGCTTTCAGTTATTTTGACTACATCCCTAGAAGTGGAGTTTCTGAGTCATATAGTACTACTGTTTTTACTTTTTTTGCCAACACTTTCTATTTTCTGGGTTTTTGTTTTAAAAATATCCATCCTGATGGATGTGGTGGGGTATCTCACTGTGATTTTTATTTGCATTTTTGTAGTGGTTGGTGATTTTTGAGCATCATTGTGTCTTGGGAAGTACTGGGGATCAAACCAAGGACATTGCATATGATAGTGCCCCCCTCACCTTTTCAATTTTCTTGGAGCAATTTCTAAATTGCTCCAGGGAAGCCTCAAACTTTCGATATTCCTGCCTCTGCCTCTGGGGGAGCTGGGATCACAGGCGAGCGGATAGCATCTTTCCCCATACTTACTGCTCACCTGTGTATCTTCAGGAAAATGTCTGTTCAAGTTCTCTGACCACTGTTTAATCAGGTTGCTTATTTTGGGTTGTTGATCTGCAGCAGTTCTTTATATATTCTAAATATTAATTCCTTATCAGATACATGATCAGCAATTACTTTCTCCCATTCCTTGGGTGGCCTTTCGCTCTGTTGATTGAGATACAAAATACACTTTTAGTGACACAGACAAGAAATCATGGCTTCACCCAGTGCCATGAAACCTGTTTTCTTTTTCTTCTTTTTCTCATCTCTCCTTCCGCTCCTTTCTCTTTTCTCCTCCTCCTCCCCCCCCCC